AAAAAAAAAAAAAAGACTAATCTATGTCTCTCTTTATTGTGAAATTTTTTTTTTTTTGAGTTGGAGTCTTACTCTGTCACCTAGGCTGAAGTGTAGTGGCACACTCACGGCCACCCCAGTGTCGACCTGCTGGACTCTGGCGATCCTACTGCCTCAGTCTTGAATCCAAGTAGCTGGAACTACAGACGTGTTCCACCATGACTCTCTAATTTTTTTATTTATTGTAGAGATGAAGTCTTACCAAGTTGCCCAGGCTGGTCTTGAACCTGTGGGCTCAGGCAATCCTCTCACCTTCGCCTCCCAAAGTACTGGAATTATAGGTGTGAGCCACTGCCCCCGGCCCTTTTATAATCTTTACTAGTGCGGAAATGGCTGATAACATATCATTTTATGCAACTGGTGATAACCAATTGTAACTTTTTCTTTCTTATTTGAGGTATTAAGAAGTGGGCATATTCTATTCCCTAATTGAAACTTATTTTTGTGTTTTGTAGAGACGGAGATCTCACTATGTTGTCCAGGCTTGTCTTGAACTCCTGACCTCAAGCAATCCTTCTGCCTCAACCTTTTAAAATTCAGAGATAAGGCTGGCTCTGTGGCTCAGCCTGTAATCCCAGCGCTTTGGGAGCCCGAGGCTAGTGGATTGTCTGTGCCTGTGTGTTCGAGACCCGCCCAGGCAACTTGGCAAGACCTCATCTCTACAATAAATAAAAAAAATTAGCCAGGCATGATAGCGCGTGCCTGTAGTTCCAGCTACTTGGAAGTCTGAGGCTCAGGAAGCATCGCCAGAGGCCAGCAGGTCGAGGCTACAGTGGCCAGGAGCCACTACACTCTAGTCTGGACAACGGAGTGAGACTCCAATGCAAAAAAAAAAAAAAATTCAGAGATTACAGGCATGAGCCACTGAACCTGGCATCTAATTGAAAGCAAGCATACGAGTATGGGCAAAGAGATATAAAAATTTTGTTATATGACGATATTGTAAGTGGGATTGTTTTCTTTTTTCTAGAGACAGGGTCTCACTCTGTTGCCCAGACTGAAGTGCAGTGGCATGGCCATAGCTCACTGCTGTCTCGAACTCCTGGTCTCAAGAGATCCTCCCTCCTCAGCCTCCCCAAGTGCTGAGTTTACAGATGTGAGCCACGGTGTCTGGCCTGAGATTGTTTTCTTGATTTCTTTTTCAGTATGTTGATTTTGTATCCTGCAACTTTACTGGGTTTATTTATTCGTTTTTAACACTTTTTAGTGGAATGTTTATGGTTTTCTTATAAAAGATTATGTCGCCTGCAGAGACAATTTTACTTCCTCCTTTCCCATTTTCATGCTTTCTATTCTTTTTCTTGCCTCATTGCTCTGGATAGGACTTCCAGCACTATGAATAGTGGTGCTGAGAGACTAGGCATCCTTGTTTTCTTCCTGATCATAAAGGAAACTTCACTTTTCACTGTTGGGTATGTTTGCTGTGACTTGTCATATATGGCCTTTATTATGTTGAGGCTTTTTTTGTGGCGGGGGGGAGGAAGGAGGCATGTACATCAACCCAGCTTTTATTGTGGGCCCTTCGTCTAGTCTTGCTCCCGGAGTTTTATGTTTTTTGGATTGTTTAGTGGATGCATTGCAAGACTCGGGTTTAGACACCTGGCTGCTCGGGCTTCCCGCATGGAAAGTCTCCCCAGGAGATAATGCAGCACTCTTTTACAGACCAGGGGACGCCCCGAAGTTGCCCTCACGGGAGTCCTTGCCGCCCACCCACTGCATGTTGAGTGTGATCTTCCCTGGGAGGACCTGACCACGCTCCTTATCTGAGCGGAGCTCAATGTTGGCATATTGTAGGGTTTTGGGGTAACTCACCTGGGGGCTGGTGGTGGTGCCCCAGCCAGACACACATCAGCAGGTGTCAGGAGGTAGGCAGTTGTGGGAAATTGGCAGGACACAGATGAAGCTCATGATTCTGACTGAGGACTGCAGCTGCCGAAGCATGATGTCATGGTTATAGTTCAGGTGGGTGGGGCTGATCTGATATTTAGCTTGGGGAGGGGTGGAGCAAACCACCACCCTCACCTGCTCGCTGGCCTCCACATGCCCAGGTAAACTCTGTACCCATCCTTCAGACAGTGTGCTGCTGTGAGGACCATTTTTTGGTGGACCAGGACTCCCCCACAGAGCAGCCGCCCTTGCACGAGTAGGGTTGCCTGCCAGGGCTGAGAGCCGAAGAGGCAGGTGTAACCACCTGGGAGAAAACTATTGGTCCCATTGGTGTCAGTGAGGATCTTGGAATACTTCTGGGAGATGCCTCCTGACAAGGCCATGGTCAGGGAGGCGATGACAACTGCCAGGAGACACATGGCTTCAGGATTGGGGGGCAGGATGGGAGGGACCTGAATTAGGGACTCTTGTAGAGTTTTAGCTGCCAGCAGCCTTGACTTTCAGCCCCAACCCATGGCTTTTAGCCCCTGAACTTCCTCCCCCAGCTCACTCAGCATTTCCTTATCACTGGCCTCCCTCCACCACCCCCAATGGCTCCCATATTTTTTCTATACCTAATTTGTTCAGAATTTTTTTTTTTTTTTTTTTTT